GTAACATGTTGATTGTGGCAAATTAGTAAATGTCATTTTAGGCAGGGTCATTGTGTGGCTTAACATTATGTACTAGTCTATATCACAGCTGAGTGCTCTCAGTCATTAGTAAGTAGACCTCCATGGACCACAGCTAAAAACTATTGATTCAGTGGTGGTTCAGAACAGTGAGTTCAGTTTGAGGATTTTTTGTTAAAGATATGTTTGTACATATGCTGAACACCACTAAATGTTATCAAAGTATCTGACACTGAAAAAGCCACACATGTTTGAATGGAGAGTAGCAGTAGAGGAGGTTAGCTAGCTTACTAGCCACTAGCTATTTTAGACTCTAGGCTATTTTAACAATTAGCTGTTTGGCACTATGAATGTTTTTAAGTCTTCATGGCAGTGATTTAATATGAACTCTTGATCTGTTCCACCAACAACAAATGTGTCCCTTGTTAAGTTGTATTTCCAACAATTCCACTGTGCATTATGTACTAGACGCATACTTTAACTTGTCAAAGCGAGAAAGCACAAGTGAAACTAATGCTGTTCATGGTGGCTTTGTTCCATTTGAGTATTCCAGTAAACCAAGCCAGTAAGATAGCATGCACAATACCTGGACCCTGAAACTGATATGTCATTATTGTTAAATAGTCTACTGTGGAAAGGGCCTAATGTGGGCCAGAAATACCCAGCAGCACTACTCTTGGGATCTCATTGTGCATACTAGCATTTCCAGCAGTGTTGATCCTCAAGTGTAGTCAAACCACATAGTCAGTAATCAACTATACTGTTAAGTTAATAAGCATGTGTTCAATTTACAAGTTTTGTAGCTCAAAATGTCCATTTTATAAATAAATTCATTTGGAATATATCGGTCAATTTCCAAAAATGTGGCTTAGGGGTTCTGCACAAAGTACAGTGTATAGGCCTTCAATGCCAGTAAACAGACTTAATAGTAGTTACTTACTCACTTACTTACTTACTTACTTTATTGTCCCCGTAGGGAGATTCATGGTAGGCATCAAGTTGCATGCATCATAAAAAGGAACAATGATAAATAGATTTTAAAAATAAAAAGAACTAGATAAGGAGAAAAGTATATTAAGATAGGTGGAGTTAAATGGAAAACAAACTCAGGCAGTTTTTTTTTTCCTCTGAAGACTTATCATCTCACCTTTGATCACATTGTCTGTGTATTTTGCCCCAAGGTCACCGTAAAACACTCCACAGGCCTAAGACTTCACTAGCTTACTGTGAGGAGCCAGAAGGCAAGATTTAGCTTTGGAATCAGTGTGTGTAGAAAGGTAGTCGCTGGTGTAAATGTGTATGTGTTTGGTTCCTGTATGTTAAATGCATTTTGTGTGTATTTATGTAAGAGTTTGTGTGTATGTCTGTATTGCTTTTCTGGGAAATAGCTTGGGTAGCCATAAGCGGTGTTAATGACTCCCATGTGTCCGTGCTCCACCCCTGCCTCACTCTGTTGGGAACTTGACCTCCTCAACCCTCTTCTCCCACTTTAATAAATGAATATATGGCTCCCTAGACCTGTCCTTCTCACTTCACCTTTTTTCACCTCTTTCTTATCTTATGGTTTATCTCTACTCATGCCTGACTTTCACTGCAGTAAATTTACTCTATATCTCAACAAGGCACTTGTTTGGATGCAGAGCGTTTGTGAATGTGCTAGAAAGTTTCCAGTGGTCACTCGTAGTACACTGGTCATACTGGGAAGCTCAGTTATTTATTTTGAAGAGAATGCATATTTTGTTAAGGTGACAATGAATGTGAAAAAACAAGAAGATAGCTGCAGAAGACATGAAAAAAGTAATATGAGAGAGAGGAGGGATTAGAGGAAGCCCCCAGGTAAAGACATTGTTGTTTCCTATTATGTAGAACTATTCCACTATCTGATGCAGACTCAGCCCTGACACCTGTCACCACTCCTAATGAAACCACTCCCACAATCCTCTGCACTCAAATCTTTTGTTTATTCCTTCCCTCCTTTGTGTGCGTTTCTCTTTCTTTTCCCTTTATGTGTTTTGATGAAATTGTTAGTCTTTGTACTGTATGTAGGCCCTTTCATGGGGGATGCCTTTGTACAGTATGTCTATGTGTGATTTATCAAGGCCCTCGGAGGAATTTGACACCGTGCTTTTTTCTGACCGTGATGCATCAGTAATGAGGAGCAGACCTTAGGATAATGTGTGTGTGTGCGTGTGTGTGTGTGTGTGTGTGTGTGTGTGTGTGAGCCAGATGATTTCCCTTTAACTTAACTGTGATCACAAAATGGAGCGAGACAGTTGGCAAACATAGCAGTAAAGTGATAGTAAAAAGATCAGTGATTACACTAATATGGTTTATAAAGGCAGTTTTAAAAAGGCAAGTTTGCAGTAATTTATGTATAGTTTTAATCCTGCATTGATTTTGTTTTTGGCAACTTGTGGGCTGCTGAACAAACAGAAAACACATACAGACACACAGCGATATCATCACCTCATTATCAGCTTACTTCCTGTAGATACTGTACCTGCTTGCATAAATATAATTTATCAAAGCGTTTGTTGGAAACTGCTAACTGCTGCAGCTAGAGATGAGGTAAGTGAGAGAAGAGTTTGTGGGGCCAAAACAACTTTTTTTAAAAAGTGGCTAAAAGCTCAGTTTTGTACAGGTGACATATTTCACAACACACATAGTACTTTGAGCCATTGCCAGTCTAAGGAGGACTATTAATACAGCTTTCAGGGAACTTATTAATAAAAAAACATGATGGATTTTCTTATTTTCTTGGATAGAAGCATTTCAGCAACTTGTTGCTCTAGTTTCCTTGCTGGTGTTTATCTATTTTAATTACACTTTTATTTCTCTTCCCCTTCTATACTATCTTATTTTTCAGCCATGAATGTGTATCATTGGCTATAGAAAATATAGAGGACATGACAGTTCCCAGAATTGAAGCCACCACAACCTGATCGCCCCCTGGTGGCTGGTTGCACTACAGGTCATAAATGCTGCATCCCCCATCAAAATAAAAACTCAAAGTCCAAATTAGATACATTTTTCACAGAGGCCACTTCTGTGGTTTTTGGTAGATACTGTCAATAGATACTGATGTGTGTACAAGTGGTCATTATTCTTAGTAATTTGATGATAAATAAAGAGGTGTACTTTGGAGGATTTGACCGTTTAATTGGCCTGATACTGTCACTCCTCTTGTGGTCACTACTGTGCAGAATCTGGTTGCAAAATGCCAAGATGGAAGCTGCTGTATTCACAGTATTTTGGTTTCACTTTTGTATAGTAGAGGGAAGTGGTGATGCATTGTTTATATTTATACAGTGAATGGTTGAATTATGGATTTTTAATGCTTCTTGTGACACAATCTTTAAGTATTCCCATCTTTACCATCACCTCTGGCTGTGGGATTGTGCCTGTACAGTACTAAAGCACATAGAGGTCGTGTCTCCAGGTGCCATTACTGTGTCTGTACCTCTCTCACCCCTCCGCATTGTCTTTGCCCTTCCTAGACCTAAACCTCTACATAAAGTAAACTGATAGAGAGATTGCTCTGCAGAGTGTGAAGCAGCTAGTGTGGTTTAACTTTAGGTATTTATTCCTTATTAAATCAAATGCAATTCCCACAGATATACATGTTTACTTTCCTAATAGGAAAATTATAGTTTACCTAATGGTGCTTAAAGTGGAATGCAACTTTATTCCTAAGTTCTTGTTTGGTATGTGTATGGTATTTATAATTGTTTACCACATCTCCAGATGAATACAAAACACACATTATTGATTATAACTTGTTCAATGGCAATTATAGATGATATTTTAAAGGCTTTCCTTAAACAAATATATATTCCAGTCTCACCCTAGTTACAAGTGTGATTCTTAAGGTGGAGACATCTTCCTTTGTTACACCACAATTTAAAGGGTGGCAATGTATCATCTTAAAAAAATAACTGGCTTATTTCTATTCAGTCAGTGAAAATAAGCCTGCAATTTTTTTTTAAAGATGATACATCTCCACCGTTTAAATTGTGGTGTAACAAATTCAGTCAGTGGGGTTCTCTGATAGACTAGTGGTTAGGACGCAGTGCTCCCGCTGCTGTGGCCCACGTTCGAGTCAGGGTTGGGTCAGGAAAGGCATCCGGCGTAAAACACCTGCCAAACGTCAACAGCAACCCCAATCAGGAAAAAGCCAAAAGTGACATTAATTTCCATTCAGTCAGTGTTGGATAAAATTGAAAAGGTTGTAAACCTCAATGGGATTATCCTGGAAAAATAAAATAAATATACTACAGAAAATGTCTTAACAAGATGCAACATTTTAATCAAACGTAATATGTACTGTAATTCAATTTCATTTACAGTACAATCTCATCATGCACAGTTTGCAAATGAATTCTGGAGCATGAGCAGTGGTATAGCATGGATTTCAGCTGACAGCTGCATGTTGTCTTTTGATTTGCTTAGGGATAAAACAAAAACAAAAAAGCACAGATTTCAATTATTTAGCTTCACATAATATGGTGCCAAGCTTTGGCTCTAGCCAAATTTGTATGGATTGAAGAGCAGCAAGGAGCAGCTACTAATGGAAGTGCTGACCCCTGAATCATCTCCCTCTCTAATCCTCAGACAGTAGCTTTTATAGTACAGCATGTTAGAATTAACAGTGTCCGTGTTCCTAAGAGACGCTCTCATTTTGTCCATGCTGAAGGAATTAGAATATCCTTTGGTCTATTTTCTTAGTCACCCAACAAAATGTATTCAGTTTGATGAGAGACTTTCAATATTCAGTTTTTCATATAAAGGACAAGAGTTGATCCTCAAGGGTTTTGAGTGGAGGTTTTTGGCTTGTGGATTCTTTAAATTCCATAGTGAGAACAAACCAGAATGCAATGCATTTTGAAAAGCATCTTTAAACCCAGACCTGCTTCCCAGTGAGAGCTCCTTCTTTTTTTGCAACTCATATCTTAACATCTTTATGCTTATTTTTTCATCTCCAGGAGTGTCCTCAGATCCTGCCCTCTCCCCAGATTTATATCCCTGCTGGAGTTATGAGGCCAATCACTCTGCTGGCCCAGAACCTTCCCCAGCCTCAGTCCGGACAAAGGAACTACGAGTGCATCTTCTACATCCAGGGCAACACACACAGCGTTCCGGCTCTGAGGTTCAACAGCTCCAGCATACAGTGCCAGAAGACCACGGTGAGATGAACAAACACAAAAACACGCAACAACACAATGTGTTGGCTAAAGGGCTTGTTACTGACGGATTACCATCTCAGCCAATGTTGATCTCTCACTCTGAACAAACCCCAGCTGTTTAATCTGTCAGCAGGAGCTCTATTCAGAGCAGCCATACTGGTTTAACCATTTGGAGGCCTTATAGTCAGTTAGCTACACTGAGACGCAGAGACTGGCAGGAATAGACTAGTGTGGAAAAAACTTGAATCTGAGCTACATAACCACAAGGACTGACTGTCGCAAAGCCATTCTCTCTTCATCCCATTCATCGTTCCTGCCTCTAAGCCCTCCGTCAAACGATCTCCACTAACATGGTGCGATCATTTCAGCTATGTTAATTTCCTCAGCTCCAGTCATGTCATGAGGCAGAGGGGACACATTTTAATGATACCATTTGTGACTTACTTAATGAGACATATGATTAACATGCAAGGCGCTCACCGTAGCAATTGCTCACAGTGATGGCTCCTCGCAGTTAAAAGGCAGCAGGACCCAGTGTATGGATTTCACAGATTTGTCGGCTGCCTTTTCTCCAGCCTGTCACACTCTCGTCAGGGGCTCTGGATCATTTAGCCGGCTGCCATGTTATTGCTGGCCTCAGAGCACGTCACTGATTTGCTGCCACTTGCTGTTTTTGAACTCTACCCAGTCAGCCGCTTTCCCCTCACCAAAGGAAAGACTGCACTTCAGCGTTGTGATCCCTAAGTCTTTCTGCCTCTAATGTCGGGTGGTGACATGAAAAATAATTCAGGGGCACTTAATTGAAGTTGATTTCCAGATTGTAATGATGGCTCCCACAGTTCTTTTGTGTTTTGGAAAGTAATTTCTGCATATTTAGTCATATGCGTCTTTTGTAATTCCTTCATGCAAGTGAATGTTCTGTTAGAGTTGACTTTTTGGGTTATTATTATAGGTTTTTGTCAGATTTGTGCTCAGTGATCTGACTACTAAAAGCCTACTGAAAAGAGAGTGAGCTGCAAAAATAGTAATTGCTGTACATCAAGTTGGATATTTGAATAAATCTGACTTTTACTATTGAATTACTCCATATACCTCAGGCGTGGGGAGACTCTTTCTAAGAAGTACAGTGGCTTCACAAAGAACATCCACCCACTTTTTTGTGACCTTTGCTTTGTAGAAACAATTTGGATATGCATTTTATTCAAATTTTGTCCATAAATCTAAACACAGTAACTCACTAGGGTTCTATGAGCTTAATGTACCTTATCCATTACTGTAATTTAAATCCATAGTCTGTTGTATATCATATGTTACCCTACATATCTTACTGTAAATATCAATTGTACACATCCATCGGTAAATTAGTTCTGACTGTTCATACTGTAGATACTGTGCACTCTGCTCTGCTGTTATTGCACTTCTGGTTATATGTACAAGGCATTTCGTTGCCTTGTACTTGTACATGGGTAATGACAATAAAGTTGAATCTAATCTAATCTAATCTAATCTAATCTAATCTAATCTAATCTAATCTAATCTAATCTAATCTAATCTACTCATAACGACAAACTGAAAAGATGTTTTTAGAACAAAAGACAAAAAAACACTGGAATCTTTTATTTACACCACTGATGGATGTAACAGCCAAGACCACACCAGCTGACACTGGGACAAATCTCTGTAACTGAGTGGCCCATGAAGCTTTAAGTGCTTCCAGACTAGGTTCTACAAAATGCTGGATTAAGAAAATTCAAGATTTCAGTTTTTGCTTTTCAGAAAATTGCAAACATCTCTAAAAACATTTGTTCTCTTTGTCATTATGGGCCACTGAGTGTGGATTAATGGGCAAAACATCTCTGGTCTCATACACTTTGGAGCCAGTTTTCTTAAGCATCTCTCTGTCCTGATGCTTACAACATGATGCTGCCACCAACATGCTTTACCATATGGATGGCATTAGCCAGGTGATGAGCAGTGCCTGGTGTTTGCCAGACACATTGCTTGGAGTTCTGCCCAAAGGGTTCAGTTTCGTCTCATCACACCAGAGAGGATTTTTCCTCATGCTCTCAGAGTCTTTTAAATGTCATTTGGCAGTGGGCTGTCATATGCCTTTTACTCAAAGTGGTTTCCATCTAGCCAATCTAATATAAAGACCTGATTGATGGAGGGCTGCTGAGATTATCATCCTTCTGTCTCTGCAGAGGACCTCTGCAGCCCCGTTAGAGTGGCTGCAGAGGTCTTGGTCACCTCCCTGAGTAATGCCCTTCTCGTTCGGTCACTGATGGGCAAAAATGGCAAGTTTATCCATTCAATATCCAAATGAATTCTACAAAACAATATAGTGTGCAAAAAGTGAAAGAATCCGAAAACTTTCTGAAGCCACTGTCAGTGTTGACTTCTACCGCTGACATTATAACACCAGTACTTCTAAAATTGTTGTGTAGATAAATAATGTGTTGCTCGAAGGCCACAGTTGTATGTTAGTTATTTGTGTTTACTCTCTGTTGGATTTCAAGTGTGTTCTGAAAGCCTCCCACGCCTCCAAACACCAGTACTTATTCTAGGAAATAGCAGAGTGCAGTTTGCATCCCCAGTGTTTGATGCACTCGCATACACTCATTACTAGCCCAGTACTGCTGCTGAGAGTTGCTGATGCTGGAGGACAGAGACCTTCCTCAGCAAATCTGATTCGCTGGCAAAACCGAATGGAAACACACACACGGACACACATACAGATTCATTGCTTCATTCCTTAGTGCAATTTAGTGTTTTGTGAAATCCCAATGTTCTCTCTGCAGGGGGTAGAACAAAAAAGTACATATCCAGGCCTGAAAATAACTTTGCAGCTGTTGATAGGAGCTGAAGTGTGTGTTTGTCCACGTGCACTCATCCATGCGGTGCGTGTTGTGAGTGAATAAGCCTCCTTTACTCCAACACTCCTTCCCCAGCCACCCCCAGACCACCATTCCCCCGCCTCCACCTTTTTCCTCGTCAGGTGGGACTCTGATAGGATCCAATTAAGGGAGCTGCAGATAAAATGATGATGAATTGCAGTGGTGCGGTAGACACCACGGACACAAACACACACACGCCCGAAAGCCTGGCAAACCGCTAAAACAGAAAGGAATGATGCAAAAAGACAAAGAAAGAGAGAACCAAAGAGGAGGTGAGGGAATTAGGATCAGACAATGACAGTACAACAAAGAGTGTGTAAGTAGAAAGAGGGAAGAGAAAATAAGAAAAATAAAGTAGGACAGGAGAGGAAAAGACGAAGCTTTGCAAGCAGACTAGGGGAAACAAACAAATGAGGGAGAAACAGATGGAGAGAAAATGCACATGGAATATAAAAGATGTGCATGTCTGAAATGAATCCGAAGGAAAAGGAAATCATAATCTGAGCAAAAGTGAAACTGCTGAGATTTACTAGAAGAGCAGAGGGTGGAAGGACAGTTGGGGCAATAGGGAGTGGTTACAGTATTATCCAGCGGTGCAGTGCTGGTGTTCAGATACACCTGTTAATGTGTACAGTAGCTCAAACAAGTTAGTTTTTGTGCCATTTCTTAGAACCTGTTCTATTCTTGCTGTCGCAGGAATTTTCTCATACTTAATGAACATCCATTAGTACTTGTTTGAATTGTGTTATCAATAGCAGTAAACAATCCAAGTTCAAGCCCTGTCTGTGTTGCATTATTGTTGCATGGTAATGAAGTCTGAGTGCTGATCGGTGTGAAAAATGTGCATATGTAACACTACATGACTTCAAGTTTACTGTGATGGATTATGCAAATCAAACATGTTTCACATCTGCTTGGTGACATTTATTGGGAAGTCTAGGGTCCATTATTTCTAAAATTTGAACAGACTAGGGATTCAAAGTTGGGATACTTTGGATTCTGACCACTCATTTATAAATGTGTCTCTTGTGAGTCCCTCAACTCTTTGGAAGTAAAATACTAAGTCGCACAATCTTCTCAAACTGCATCAATCTTTTTTGGTTGTTTTTGGCTGTTGTACAGTATGGGCAGGCAGTGTTTAGTGTTTGTTTTGAATGTTTTTTTTTTTTTTTTAGCTTTTTGTTAAAAACAGCTGCCTGCATCTGGGAGCAAAAACCACTGACAGCGGTGAGAGTGAACATAGCAGTAAAAATGTGAGCATTAAAATCTAGACCATGAGATGTTGATATGTTCCCTAGAGCTGAGAGAGCTGCACAGTTGTGGGATAATTCTTCTCTCTGGGTGTATTTCTAACAACCCTTTTAAATACACTGGTATATGGTCTTTCAGCCCAAGTGTAAATATGGTCTTTCCTTTGATATTTTAGTGTATTTTAAGGAAACACAATTAATGCAGAGGCTCAATACCTACAGTAGAACATCCAGCTATGATTGAGAACCTGCATATTAGCTACCATTGTACTGAGTATTCTCAGAAGGCTAGTATGTATTGTAGCTGGCTGTGACTGGGACGGTACAGTGTAATATATCACAGAGAAGATTAGCCAGCAGTAGATGTATGCTCATCCATTCAATCTTACTGTCTCTTTGTGCATTATTTAGCCGCTCGCCAAACACTGAAACATTGAACTTGCATACTCAAATTCTCCAGGGACACAAAGTATGCATGGATGCACACTGGGATGTTAACAGGAAAACACAAGCTGGTGTGCGTCCACACACACACACACACACACACTCACAGGCACACACAGACAGGATGCATGCCTGCTGCATGGATACCCACTGGTTTGTTCATGGACAAATGCACACATACACACACATTATCCCCAGGGGTTTGGAAACCCAACATGAAACAGACATATGGAGATTCACCACATGATCCTCTTCCTAATCATGTGGAGCAGACAAAGACTGTAGCATCAGCAACAACCAGCATCCTGCTTTACATGATTTATTACACTGACACACATAGGCTATGAAATGCTCTGTGTGTGTGTGTGTGTGTGTGTGTGTGTGTGTGTGGATAGGCTTCCCACTGTAAGTC